GCGCCAAGGAGAGTAACTTTCAGGATCATGGCCTTGCACACTGTGGATTTATCATTCATGAGATGGTCTCCTCTATTCCTGACCTCTCCTGGGGTAATGAGTTTCATCACTGCCTGCTGTGTAATGGAATTTATGTACACACACACATATACATATGGAAATCACTTATTTGAGGAAATATTTTTCCCAAGACTAACCTCTTTCAGTATTCTGAGACATGATGAAGAAGTCTACATATCAGTTTTTGTTTTTTTTGTTTGATACTGGAGTTGAACTCAGTATATCTCCAGCCCTTTTCATTTTATTTGGCGATCAGGTCTCACTATATGGCCCACCCTATCGTTGAACTTGCAATCTTCCTGCCTGTGCCTCCTAAGTAGCTGGGATTATAGGCATATACCAACTGTACTTGACTGAATCTTAAAATACAGTTTAGTTGAGCAAGTTTACATAAACCTTTCCCACAAGTGACCTACACTATCCTGTCATTACAACCATATTTGTCCTACCAAAGTTCTCTGAATACCGCGTGTACTTGCTTTTGCCTCTGCCCAGAATTATTCCCTGCGGATCTAAGTCCTACTCTTCCAACAGTTTCCACATCTTTCTATGAGGTTATTGCAGATATAAGAGGTCACCATAGTCTTTCCTTCCTGTGATTTTACTGCCTTCCCCATTTACTGTCAGGACCTGCTTCCAAGCAGTTATTGGTATTGTCTATAAATCTACTCAAATCGCTGGCAGGACCATGTCACTGAATATGGAACAACTTGAGCACAGTAGGTGTTCAATAACTGAATATATCATATTTAATCATATTCGTCATGATTTTCAGAAAATGGACTACATTCCCTCTAGTCTTGCCCTCCACAGACTGAAAAGCCCTGAAGCCTTTTACTCTGCTCTAGAGTGAGGTCAGATTTATCCACAATAATCTCATTAGGTCAGGCACTGCACATGGAAGGGTAAAACAGGCATTCTACTGGCAGTAAAGGTTTCCAAGTCTGAGAGACCTACACATGAATCCTGGTTCTGCCATTAGTTCCCTCATGTGTAAAATGGAGCACATGGTCTGACCAGGTAAGGCCTAGTACAGTGCCCGGGACACAGTAGATTCACAGTAAGTATCAGTTGCTTCTCAAAGACTTTGAAGGACAGGCTTGAGGAAATCTAGTTGGGGTTGCAGATATTAAACTAAAGCTCCCAGGAGATGGAAGAGAAGCAGAGGGCACATATTTTACAGCAGCATTTTGGTCCTATAGAAGTATATCATTTCTTGAAAATGTAAAGATTAGAGGTAAAACTCGGGAATCAGGCAGGTAGAGCAGCAGGGAGTTTCCCCAGAGACACAGCAGAGGTCACAACTGGCAGCAGAACTACACCACAAGGGAGACAAAGTAGCTGCCAACCCAGTGCACTGGCAACTAGACAATCCAGGCTAAACGCTTATCAATACTAAGAATGTTAAAAATATGATCAAAGGGTCTGGGGGTGTAGCTCAGTGGCACAGTGTGCTTACCTAGCACGCAAAAGGCTCTGAGTTCAAGTACCTCAAAAAAAATATATATAGATAGATTATGATGATGATCAGGAATAGTATATGTTGTCACTGTGACAAATTTCTAAAGTCCTCCACTGAGCCTTTCTTTGACAGTGCTGATTAAATCCAGGGCCACATGTGTGCTGCGCGAGTGCACCACCACAGAGCCACATTCCCAGCCCCTCTACACTCCAAAAATTCACAGGATAAGCTTGAGCCCAAGCAGAGCACAGGGCTGCAGTGCCGTAGGTTACTCAGTACTTCAGCCCACCCTCCCTCATCCTGCCACAAGACAGGGTGGGACAGAGGGCCTGTGGAAGAATGGGCCTCTCATTTGCCCCCCTAAGCTGGGAAACCTTTGGGAATTGTTTGCTGTAACTGAATCTTTCAGCCTAAAAGGGCTTCCAAGTTGGCTATGGAAGTATCTTTGGTTGGGAGAAAAATATTAATGGTTGAGAGAAAATAGATAAACAAATAATAAACACAATCAGTGGTGGTGGAAAAGAAAGAATTCTTAACCCCCCATCAAATGGTGGCAAAATGTAGTTTATTGACAAGAACGTTAACCATACACATCAGGAAAACATTGGCTTAAATGGGGAACCAGAAGACCATGACTAGAAGGGCTAAGAATAGGCATGGCACAGAAGTATAAGAAGATAGATAGAAATCAGGCAGAGAAGCTATTCCAGTGGGCAGGCAGTAGATAGAGAGGCTGAGAGTAATAAACAAGGCCGAGATGGAAAGATGACAGGCTTAGGGCAAGAAAAGGATTATCAGTACCAAACCAAAAGGAGGTGCAGGTAAGTATTATGATAAGACAAGAGGGAGAGAGAAAAAGCACTTCCTTCCCTGTGCTTCTGTTCCCATTATATTAGCTGCTACTAGGACATTCAATCCTCCTTTTCCATGTTCTTAAAGTCTAAGGCTTTTGGGTGCATTTGGAGGATTTACGGCTTAAAATATATCTTACATCTGGCAAACACCGAATATTCTCATGAAGCCCAAAGCAGCCTCCCAGGTGCAGTGGTGTACTGGGTGCTTCTCAGCACCAATGGTTCTTTCTCTTCTTGCTAGGCAATCTCAAGACACACTTAGAAAAAGGAAGTTTCTACTTCCTCCAATAATGTTCACAGCAGTACCTCTGTCCGGTTGGGACAGTGTTACTCTCTTCTTTGCCTGATTTTACAGAATAGCAGGAAAGTCCTTACAACCCTGTCCCAGAAGCCAAATGTCAAAACTGAATTTTTACTGTTGGTAAATGAATCTCAAAACATATTTTGGAGATATGATTTTGTGACATTTTGAAATTACTGCAGATGCCCAGGAACGCTGAAATCAGGGTTTTGTGCTCTAGTATTCAGAACCACGGTGGCATATTATCCTGGAAATTGAGCTCTGACATGTGGTTGAGCTAACTAACTCGTAGGCTTGTTGGGCTGAACAGGAAGGCTTCTTGCTGAAAATGGCAGCAGAGAAAAGTGTTCCACTAAGACCTGGGGAATATGCATGTGCGCAGGAGGACATCTGATTCAACTGCACAAGGGCAAGCGGTGGGTGCTCAGTAAATTCCCAGAAGCCATCACTGGGAAGAAGGGTGGCAGCAACACCCATGTACCTGTACTATGTGCCAATGTAGGGGCAATTCATATGGTAAATAAATACTTTGCGGGGGGGGGGGGCGGGGTACCGGAGATCGAACTCAGGACCTTGTGCTTGCATAGGCAGCAGAACCACTGAGCTAAATCCCCGGCCCCCCTTTTTTTGTTTTTTGAGACAGAATCTTGCTCTGTAATTCAGGATGGCCTTGAACTTATGGCAATTCCCCTGCCTTATCCTCCCAAGTGCTGGGATTACAGGTGTACACCACCAGAAATGGCAAACAAACACTTTTTTTTTTTGGTACTGGGGATCAAACTCAGGTCCTTGCACTTGTGCAGCAGGTGACAAACCACTGAGCTAAATCCCCAGCCCTAAACAAACACTTTTTAACAGAAAGTAAAGCAGAGGTCTATGGCCATACCACCCTAAATGCTCCCAATCTCATCTGATCTCAGAAGCCAGGCAGGGTCAGGCCTGATTAGTACCTGGGTGGGAGAAAGTGGAGCAATGATGGGAACCTCAAAAGAAAGTCTCCAGTCAGGGGTAGTGGTGCATACCTGTAATCCCAGCATTGGGGAGGTTGTAGCAGAAGAATTGCCGTAAGTTTGAGGCCAGCCTGGGCTACACAGTGAGCTCAAGGACAGCCTGAACTACATAGCAAGACCCTGTCTCAAAAAAAAAGTCTCCAAGCTAAGAATTTGCAATCATCCGGTACAGAAGTGAACAATAGAAAGTCACACAGGAGTTACCCAGAATCAGGGACAGAGATCTGCTTTTCTATTACATTGCTTTGGAATATTTTAAGTAGGCATAGGTATGATGAACTGGCCAATGTCTGTCAGCTAGCCCTGCCTCTTCTACCTGAGCAGAGACAGAGAAGGCAAGGAAGCTTCCAAAGACGCACTCTTGATTTTTTTAACCCCCTCACTGAGCATAATCTGTAGGGTGACATTTATGAAAAACACAAAATTCTCAGGCTGAAACTGAAGAGCATATCAAGAGCAGAATTACTTTTGCGACTGACAGTGGGAGATCTGAAGAGAATGCATTGTAAAGCAGAAATAAGTGGACAGTTATGGGGTTTGACAGTCACACAGAAAGAAATCTATCCCAGTTAAGTTTCATCTTTTTTTAAGCAATCACTTTTATTGGGTATTAATTCTCAGACTAAAAAAGGATTCAGCAATGACTGAGTTTTCCAACAAGCAGAGCCGGGGAGGGCAAGCTAGTCCTGGTCAGGATCCAGAGTGTGCCCTGTGCACTGACCCTTTGGTGGTACCCGTGTCACCATTCAGTTTGAGTTCCTTGTAAGAAAGGCAGTAGCCAAAAAGCACATTAGCTGCCAGGACCATGCTAACCCCAGTGCCGCACCCTTTCTTCATGTTGATGTGCTGCTGTAACACTGGTAGTAATCTTTGAAACACTCCAGTGTTGCCTTGAGGGCTGGAATCCCACATCAATGTTCAGTTTGCAAGTTCCCTTAGTTTGACATCCACGAGTTTCTTCTTCACTGGTACAACTGGTACCATCTTGGAGTCCTGGTATCCACTGAGCCAGTAAACTTCATCTTGATCAAGTATTTATTCTCCCTTTCCTATCTGATCTGTATTTGGCACAGTCATATTGTTACTGGGACAAATTCTTTATAAAAGAATCCCAGTTAATCAATGAAAAAGGAATAGTAACACTAGAAATATCCAATTATCCATGGTTCCTAAAGCTACTGGGTGACCGGATGACGGGGACGGCATCGCAGGGGAATCACATTGTCCACACAGGAAGCAGAGCCTGGACTGGCAGCCGCCTTGGAGTTACTCCACCCTCAGCTGCTTCCTGCTTTCCCCACAGATGAACCCACCTGCAGCCTTCTTGCCAGGATCCACTTGCAACCTCCACAGTCTGCCATAAAGAGGCCTGACAAGAACACAAAACTGTTAAAAAGCACTGGGCAAGATGCACTAACAGAAGCTGCTGTAGCTCAGCAGCTCCCTACACACACCCGGGCGCACAGAGCACCCGGCATCTTTGATGCCTGCCCAAGGAGCATTTAACACCCTGCAGTAAACATGCCTGCTCACTGAGTGCTGATGGGGTATAGGTTTATAGAAGGATATCCTGGAGTCCAGCTCTCAGGTGAGCTGAGGAGGGTAGGTCACCACCTTCTACCTCCCTCTCTGAACTGGCATTTATGATTTTTTTTTGTAGCCTACTTACCTTCCTAATTATGTCTTCTTTTAGGCTAATATGAAATTTAATTTATATTCTCTTAGTACCCAGCACCTGGGTTGGGGGTGGAGATGGTCCAGGCTTACACTGGCTTGCTTACAAAAACTGTCCAGGGATTTAAAATGTGTCACAAGTAATCAGCATGAAAGACAATCTGTATGTGATAGCTCACAGTCAGCTATATTTACGTTTATAAAATTCACAGATTACTTCTGTCTCTTAGGGCTACTATGAACATAAGTACCTAATGGTTACATGATTTAAGTGATTTAAAAAAAAGATGCTGTCTAAATCTGAGGTGGTACTGTTAGTTCACATGGGCTTCTCCCAGAAGTCACAGCAACTGTGTGGTAGCTGCTGAAGGCAGACCAGCAGACGAAGCCAGACTGAAAACACGTCTGGTCCCAAGGGCTGCCGAGAAGGGAAGGTGTTCGCAATCCAGCACTCTACCCCAGGAGCGCTGTCCACACTCTACCTTGTCTGTACAGCCAATGAATCAAGCATGCTCTTGGCCCCCGAGTGGTTGCATGCCCTCTTGTTAGTCAGAGGCCATTTAATGAGAAAATAACTCTCTAGGTCAATGGCAGAGTCATGAGCTGAGGGAAGAGAAGGCCAGGGAGAGGGTTAGTTGAAAGTGGATATTCCTGAAGTAAATCCCTTTCTCAGTCACTATAATTCAGTTTTGTTTTGTTTTTTTTAAAGCAAGAGGTAGGGGTAGGGAAAGGTAATTCTTGGAAGAAAAAAACTTTTAAATATGGAAAGATAAAGAACACAGTCCATGTAATATGGCTGGGAGGAGTCATTCCAGAAGCACCCAGGAGTATTTTTTTTTTCCTCCTTCCACCAAGACTGAGGCAGAAACTTCAAGGCTTTTGGAAGCAGTCCCAACATTTTAAGAAGTTCGGATCAATCTCTACAGCAGCACTGTACTCTACAACTCCCTGTGATGATGAACACGCTCTATTTGTTTCAATTTTTATTTTTTTGGTACTGAGGATTGAAATTGGGACCTTGCACTTTCGAGGCAGGCAGCGGAACCACTGAGCTAAATCCCCGGCCCTAACACGCTCTATTTCTGTACTGTCCAACAGTGGCTACAGAGCACTTGAAATAGGGGTCAGTGTGAGATAGAACTATGTTTTAAATTTTACTTGATTATAATTTAAATTTAAATAGTTGGAGTACAACTCCAAAACTCTTCCAGAGTGCCAACTCTACACCATGAATGTGCATATCAAACACACACACACACACACACACACACGCACACCATCACCACCAGCAACCACAACAACACTGTAAGAGTTGTCTTTGTTAAGGTGGAAACCTAATCTGAAACTGGATGCTTTGTATTCACCTAAAATATATTTCCTTTACTTACATTATATCACAAGTTCTTTCCTTCACTGCCTTACCCTGTCAAGTCATTCCAGCATTCTTCAGCTCCCTAGGCCCCGATGTAGGAAATTCTATCAGCAGCAGGAACAATATGGTGTAGATGGGCATCATAGTGCTGTGAGCAGTGAGGAGAACTGAGTTCAGCAAAGGCAGAATTGCTGGACGCCTTGTGAGTGAGCCAATCTGATAGCAAGGCCTTTGTAGTACAGCTCAGAGTGGTGTCTATTTCCATATTTGGACCCATCAATGATTCTCAGTTGCCAGCTTTACAATAGCAAAGATGTTTTATCAATTTCATTTTGAAAACTCCATTTATGCTCTGAAAATCTCTAAATTGGGCCCTTTCTAATAATGAAGATTTAGTGTAATTATAATGTCACAGGCAACTGTGCTGACAAAGTAAAACCAATGGGTCTCCTTGCTGGGCCTTTGCTCTCAGTCTGACCAACAGGAGAAAAGAGGCTTTGTCAGGAGCAGATGTGCAGTGGGAGGCCAAGGGAAAGCAGATCTGTTGAATGAAGCAGGTGCCACTTAGACATTCACTTTACTGACTCCAACCACAACCTCCCCTTCATTTGATATCCTGCTCTTGGCAGGAGGATGGGGAGAGCATCACACAAAAAGGAAGAATGTTTATCCTCTTCAGATTACTGCTTCTGCCAGGCTACTGCTGCTGGATTCTGCACATTTTCTCTTTATTAAGTAAAGGGCAGAGCTGGGCTCTGGGAAGTGAATCCCTGTATTTACACAGGTAACCTGAGAGCCAGCAGGCCCCAAATCATCCTGGCTATGATATGCAAGCTATTAAGAGTTAATAACAGTGCACTGACATTCCTTCAAAATCCTAATGGAAGCATAAATGAAAAGAGGAAAGTTCTTTTACTCAAGAACCTTGAAAACTTCATTCTACAAGAATTTGTCTGGTTATGATAATCTGGTTCCTGTACAAACACTGACTAATGCCCCCTTTACATGCTAAAACCAACTTTTTCATCCAATTAAACTTATCCAATTGTGGCTCTGGATGTGGTGAGGTAAACAAACAAAACAAAACAAAAAAATCTCTTTGCAAAATTTGCCTTTAATGCCAGACAGAATTCTGTCTTAGTTACAAAGAGCTGGAATCATCTAAATAACTGGAATCTGCTTTTGCACACAGATTCACAAAGATCTGGGGACCTCAGGGGAAGGTGAATGACATATAGAAGCCTGTAATTTGCCCTTGAGGATGTTGCAGTAGAGGAGACCATGGTCACTGGTGCCACCTGTTAGATGCAGGGATCTCCTGAGAACCTCTGTCCACCACCCCTGACCTGAGTCCTCTGCTCAGAATGTCCTTGGCTCACATTAGTGTTCTGTTCACAGAATGTTGCCCCAAGCTGAGAATACCTGCCACAGTCAGACCAAAGAGTAGATAAAGGTATGCCCTGCTGGCTTGACAGTGTGCTAACTTCCTCTGGGGCCCCAAGGAGCCAATAACTAAAAGGCATCCAACCGTTAACACTGCACCTAAAAGCTTCATATGAAGGCTATGGTCATGGCTCAGGTGTGAGTTCAGAATAGTGACCAAGGGCCAGCGGCCTAAGGTTTCATTGTGCAGACCCTCTGTACCTGCTTCTGTTCTATATCTTTGAATCTTCAAGTACAGAGCCTGTATCAGTATTCCCTGGTGTACAAATGATGAGTGTTTGAGGCCAGACCAGTTTCTAAAATAAAAAAAATTTTTTTTGCATTACTAAGGATTAAAAACAGGGACTTTGTAGGGCCAGGGATTTAGCTCAGTGGCACTGTGCCTGCCTTGCAAGCGCAAGGTCCTGAGTTTGATCCCTGGTACCAAATAAATAAATAAACCAATAAAACAGGGACTGTGCAATGAGCTACATCCCCATTCCTTTTCTCTATTTTATTTTGAAATAGGATCTCCCCAAGTTGCTAAATTGGCAAGCTGGGCTCAAACTTGCAATCCTCTTGCTGAAGCCTCTCAGAATGCTTGATTACAAATATGCACAACTACACCCAGCTCACACCAGTTTATAAAGACAGAAGGAGGATGACACATCTTCGGAGGTATAGGCTCTGCAAAGAGAAAGATGGCTGAAACCACAATGACAGGAGACCTTGCATGAGGCAGTGCTGCTCCTTCTATTTTTCTTTTCTTTTTTCTGAGATAGGGTTTTGCTACGCAGTTCAGGCTGTCTTTGAACTCACTCACTATGTAGCCCAGGCAGGCCACGAACTTGTGGTGATCTTCCTGCCTCAGCCTCCTAAAAGCTGAGATTACAGGGGTGTGCCACCACACCTGCTTATTCCTTCTAAAGGTGCCTACAGCATAGCACCATTGTAGGGGGGAAGCAAGAGGCAAAGAACCCTGCCAAAGGAAACCCTCTTGCAGTGAGGCTGTGTCTGAGGTATGACAGAAATGTCTGGCACATCTAGAAAATCGAATCTCAGTATACTCAGGGATACACTACACTTCTCAAGCAGAGGCTTCCTGAAATGAAGATTCTTTATCTCTCTACAAATAAAGGCTTGCTGGCCTACATTCTAAGCATATTTCCCCAAATGAGTCCTTTGTAGATTGATTCCCTTCCCACTCACGGTTTTGTTTTCTTTTTTTGGTACTGGGGATTGAACTCGGGACCTTGCACTTGCAAGGCAGGCGGCGGAACCACTGAGCTAACCCCACCCCCTTTTTGTGGTATTGAACCCAGGACCTTTATACTAAGCCACACCCCCAGATTTTTATTATTTTGCTAAGTTGCCCAGGCTTATGATCCTTCTGCCTCAGCCTCCTGGAGTTCTGGGATTACAGTCATGCACCATCATGCCTAGATGGTGTGAGTTTTGTTTTGTTTTTTGATGGTGTGAGTTTTTAATAATTGTAACAGTAGTAACAGCAGCAGTGAAATACAGGTGGTGGTGGTCAACAGTTACTACTGAGCCAGGCATGGTGGCAAATGCCTCTAATCTCAGCACTTGGGAGGCTGAGGCAGGAGGATCACTGACAGTTTGAAGCCAGCCTGGGCTACATAATGATACCCTGTCTCAAAAACAAAAACAAAACAAACAAACAAAATAGGTACTGCTGCCCCAAAATTAGTACCACTCTTCTATCTCTCTGGATGGAGGGATTAGGAACTCAGGAAAACAGCCACTTCCTTCTGAGAAGGACTTTAAGAGGTCATTATGAAGGAAGTAGGGAAGGAAGAAAGCTTTCAGGGCTGAAAATCATCACCGAGCCATCCCTTCCTTCCCTTGGTGTCCTGAGCATAAATAAAAAGAGGAAGTTC